GTCGATGCCTAGAGGACTAGATTTCATTTTTTTTCTCAATAAAAGTGCAATATCAGAAATGGAGGAAGAGCCAACACTTACCATTCAAGTCGCTGGTTGTGGAAGCAGGGTCGTCCTGACACGTTCCCTCTTTACATGTCTACACACACGGAAAAAGGAAAGTCATTGGACAACAGGTTAAATAATTTGACGGCTTTTGTTTGTTTTTGTTGTTATGATCTTATGCTATTGCAAGCGCCATAAAACACTTACCATATGAGTACGCGGGACATATTAGATTTCTAAACATTTTCAGTATGGTTGGAATTATTTAGTTCTTAAAATCAATATAAACCGAAGTTTAATACCAACATAGAAAACACTACTTATTTGGTATAATTTCAAAAAATAAGTGAATATATAGTATGAAAAAAAGTTTCCTGTACAAATGTCACAAGAGAAAGTTTAACTCGATTTTTAAACGTTATACAGTGGAACTCGGATTCAACGAGGTCGCCGGGCCAGACCTAAAATTTCGTTGAATCCGAGTGTTCGCATAGCAAACATGAGGTTTTGTGTAGATAATTACAGGCACAGAGCAAGTAATGTGTAAAGAAAAGTCACAAAGACGCAAGTGCCTGAAATGCCTGCATATTATAAGCTGTGTAAAACTAAAAAAAGACCGATTCGTTCTAATGCACGCCTGTGTCATCTCAATCGTATGCCAAGAAGCTGTGTTGCTGTGTACAGCCTTGCATAAGGCAACTTTTGATTCCATAGACTAGCGCACAATTAATTAGGTAAATAATGATCGATTGCCGAGGGGGAAAAAAGACTGTGACGCGTTTGTATCTGCGACGGTCAACGCCAGGACCGCTATTGCCCTACCCCCCCCTCACCGACATGCATGAAGACCGCCCATCCAACCCCGACACATGCCAGAGTACACGTGCATGTGCCAACAACGCATGTGTTAGTATAAAAAAAAGGCCGCTGATTGGTCGTTTGCAATCGGCTAAGTGAATAATGGTTCACGATGCAGGTGCAATGGATGGTTTCCGGGAATCCGTGAATAGATAAAGTTTGTTCTGGGAGAAAAATTAACGAAGCCACGTCTGCAGGGGCTGTTCACCCTGGAAGCGACCTCATTGAATCCGAGCTCGCTAATTTAAGTGCTCGTTGAATCCGGGCTATCTTTATTGATTTTAAAGAAGAAAAAAAAACGGGGAATCTATGTCATCTCGTTGAATCCGAGTTCTCGTTGAATCTGAGCTCATTGAATCCGAGTTCCACTGTACCTCTTCTTCTTTACAATTCCCAACAGTTAAGTTGAACTTCAGATGAGTTGATCTTTGTTTCACTCCCCTGACGGCATCATCTTTTCTGTAGTCAACTGTACCTTTATGACTGAATGAGCAAATGCATGTTTACATTATTATGAGGGTATAGGTTTAAATGAAAAGCGATTGTTTGTGAGAAAATATGAATTGATATATCTATGTAAAACACTTAGGACCATCCTGGTGGAAAGGGGCTTCTATGTGTATGTGCTTTATTATCATTGATATGATTATATTTTTTATTGTTATTATTATTATATTGTTATTGAGATGTTACATTGCATTTTTCTCTTGAAAATGTAATCAATGTACATGTCATATCAAGAGTTTTTTGTTTTTTTCACAGGAAATGTACATTTATGACACTGCAGGAAAAGAGATATTTTCAGATTTTGTGAAGCGATTAGTAAGTATTTTATTTTATATGATATATATAACAGTATAAATCCTCTATGAATTTTACAAATCTATTTTGTTTTGTCTGCCTTTCATTTTGTAGCATGCAAATATTCTTTTTTAAACGTGTGACATGCGGTGGCTCAATAATGTGTAATTCATGTTAATGGAGACTTTTTTTTTTTCAAGTAGGGCCTACTTTAAAAAATCTGTGTATATAACCTTTTCATATTGGCGCTCATATGACCTTATGCAGTTGCGAGCACCGTAACACCTCTACTAAAAGAAACAAAAAACCTTTTCATATAATCCCTGAGGTAAACAGTCAATTACTAGCATATTTTTTGTTTTGAAAATCAATCTTTGTTTTTGTACCATACCAAAGTAGCCAACAGGTGGAAATGATGTTGTTGGAAAAAATACTACATTTCCAAAATCATTGCCTTTTTTCTCCAGTGGGACCATCCATCTGTGATAATGGTTGTATATGACTGTACCAGTGAAACATCCTTCTCAAGCTGTGTGAAGTGGCTAGAGAGGGTCCGTGCTCAAAGCCCAAATACACAAATTCCAGGTAGGTTTGTTTTTTTCGCTTTTCAGATTCCATTGTTTGATTCAATTATTTTATTTTTGTATATATTACTTTAGTGACGTACATCCTAATTACTGGGTACTCCCCACTGTATGTGACTCTGTCTAGATCAGAGACATTCTTGGGTATTAAGAAGAAGACTTAGCACAAACATGCACATGCATGTTGTATACAGAGTGAGAACAAAAATGAGTCTGAGATAGAATACAGATGATGTTTTGAGGGTTTCAGACTCACATAATCTGAATGGAAAGATAATTTTCAAACTGCAAATTTCCACATAAACTTCCTGTTTCCTGTATCAAACGTAAACTGACTGTTGTCAACCATTACCAAGCGTGTTGCTAGTATGGCTTTTGCAGTGAAGCTTCCTTCTGATCTCACTCTTCTGAGTACAAATAACTGAGCATTCTGCAGCATACCCCCCAGGGCAGTGCTACTGACTGAGGTGTCTTTAGGTCATTCCCAAAGGGGGGATATTAACATGTTCTTATGCACAGTAGAATTGTAAATGGGCTGATTTATCAATGTCATGCTAGTAATGTGCAAACAACATAGGGGGAACTGCTGCTTCTTCTTTCCTCATGCAAACAACATAGAGAGAACTGCTGCTTCTTCTTTCCTCATCTTTACTATCGTCATTTTCCTCTACTTCTTTTGTATGTTTGTCACTGTCCTGTGAAATGCTATTTCCTGGGTGCTTTAATAGTCGAAGCAGACTTTGTGCTGTTGAGGCTAAAGAGGTGAGCGAGAGTAAAACTGATTCCACGTTTAGACTTCTTTCTTGACATCCACCCCTTGGCGCTCATTTGACCTTATGCAGGTTGCGAGTGGCATCAAACCTTTACAAAAAATAATAAAATTCTGCCAAATTTTTTTCAGTGATTTCAAATTGTCATGGAAAACTTTTCGGTGTTTATTTAAACTGTCAACAAAATTTGATCATTATGGTTTTTAACCCTTTCAGCAATAAGTAAAGTTTCTGTGCAGTTTCCAGTGCCCAAGTAAATTGTTGAACTTACAAGCTAAAATTTGAATATATGATAGATACCAGTGTAAAGTGGAGCTTAACTCCTTCATTTCCAAGAGGTGTGCGCTGCTTCTGTAAGTACTGATTTTCAACTAAGCTGGTAAGCCAGGACAGCAGTCTCAGTATCTGTACGAACTTGCTGTCAAGATCTGGCCACTCATGATATATTCAGACACTGGTTTTTCAATAGTGTCACCTTCCTCACTTTCATCATTCAAACACCTTGCAAATCTGTCAAAAAGTGAATTTACTGTCTTTTAAAGTGATTTCGGTGTTCACATTTTGCGAGGTAGTGTGGATAATTGGCGGGTGCTCTTGTGCATCTTTCCTATTCAAACATCCATTTTCCTTATCTCTCCTACTTTTCTTTGTATGTTATTCTCTAGTAATACCTCTAATCTTTTGCACTGATATGAATTATTTGTGCTGCAAGTGCGGTAAAACACCTACTAAAATATGAATGATAAAAAAAACATGCTTGCATCAACAAGATTAGACCTGTGTTTATCGATCATATGCAAACTAGCAGTAAAGTAGTTCAAGCAAATTTGGTACAGATAATATATACATGTGCATTGTTATTCCCAAAAATATGAAATCAATCTATGCTTGTGACTAAATCTCTGTACAGAAGAATTAGAGCCAGATAATATGAGGGACGTCCAGAAAGTAAGTGTCGTTTTAAAATAATTATAAAAGAAATAATTTTCCCTATCAAAACGATTTATTCTTGAATCTCATATATATATATATGACTACTTCTCCACGTAGTCACCAGAACTGTTGAGGCATTTGTCGTAGTGTAGGACGAGCTTCTGAATACCCTCATCGTAGAAAGCTGCTGCCTGTGATGTCAGCCAATGTCGAGTCTCTCCTGTGAGATCAGCGTCTGAGTCGAAGTCCTGCCCAGCCAAAAATTTTTTCAAATGCAGGAACAGATGAAAGTCACTCAGAGTCAGGTCTGGGCTGTATGATGGGTGCTTCAACTGTTCCCATCCGAAGGAGGCGATCAGGTTTTGGGTCTGTGCAGACTTGTGAGAAGTTGCATTGTCGTGAAGATTTCCCCAAAATTCTGCTAAAAGAACTCCTTGCCTGTCCCAAAACATTGTACACAGGACTTTTTTTCCTAACGCGGCCTGCTTGAACTTTTTTGGCTGGGGCGAATCCGTATACTTTCACTACATCGACTGCTGCTTTGACTCGGGCGTGGAGTGGTGCAACCAGGTCTCATCCCCCGTCACAATATGAGTAAGAAAGTCATCTCCTTCATCATTGAAACGTGTCAGGAATGTCAATGCACTGGCAGCCTGTTGATTCTTATGCGCTTGTGTCAGCTGCTTGGGTACCCAGCATGAGCACACCTTTCGATAATCCAAATGGTCTGTGTCGATTTCATGCAGAAGCGACCTTGAAATCTCAGGAAAGTTTGAAGAGAGTGAGGAAAGGGTAAAACGCCTGTCTTCCTTTACCTTAATGTCAACTTTGTTTATCAAATCATCACTGACCAAAGATGGACGCCCACTCCTGGTTTCATCATGCACATTTTCTCGTCCCTCTTTGAACATGTGAACCCATTTCCTCACTATGCTTTCACCCATTGCATTTGCAACAAACACTTCAGAAATCTGCCTCTATGAATGTCGTTAGGCTTCATGTTCTTTGCAGTCAGAAAACGAATAACAGACCGAATTTCACTGTCAGCATAATTTTCAATCTTGGGAGACTTGTTGAAGCTTCAAAAGGGTATAGGATGTTTGCTACGAAATGTGACTGTAAACTGGAGGGGAAAAAACTGGATGAGATGTTTTACAAGCGTTGTAGATTGTTGTTTACAATGGCAAGATGGAAGCTGAGGGCTCTTTATGGTTCAGTATTGAACACATCAACTCACTGTGGAGCAAAATCGGGAATATCCTAACCTGGTTCAGAGAGATGTTCAAATGGTACTTATTTTCTGGACGTCCCTCGTAATAATAATAATAATAGATAGCATTTGTATAGTGTAAATCCACACTCAACAGCAAGCTTTATGCGATTCACGATCTGTACTATTATCCCAGCAGACCTGAGAGCATTCTGAAACAACCTCAACTTTCTGGGAAGCATACAGTGCAAGCGGCCATTTATAGGTGCTAAAACACTAACATACTGACAAGATCTTTCGCTGTCTATGGCTGGGTACCCATTCCCACCTGGGTCAAGGGAGGAAAATTTGTGTAAAGTGCCTTTCCCAAAGGACACAACGTCGGGCCTACGGCTCGAACCCCCGAACCCACAACCTCAGGATTACGAGCCCGGTAGTCTAATTACTAGGCCACTGATGTATACATGTAACGTCTTATGGGCAACCAAGAATGACAAATTTTGCCAAATTCCTTGACATCCATGGTATCGCACAAAGCTAAAAATTTTGTATTTATGTGACATATCATGTATGTCATAAGTCAATGTAGGGGTTAATGATTGTGTTGTATCATTGTATGACTTAGTAATTAGATTGTCTCACAGTGCTCTTCCTCTGTTATTTTTGCATGTGAAGCCACTAATAAAATGAAATGGTTGTTTTTTAGAGGTATCTCTTTAAGCAGGGGATCACATGTGCTGGCAGCTGGGAGTTGAATTGTGAGCATGGAGAATCTCCATGCATGTTATGAAATGTGTTAAATAGATTCAAAGTCTTAATGTTGAAGAAAATTTTCTTTTTAGAGACAGTTTGGTTATATTTCTTTTAAATTATGTCTTTTGTAGGTGCTCTCATTGCAAACAAAGTTGACTTGGAACAGAGACGAATCATCAGTCCTAAAAAAGGTCAGGAGCTTGCACAGGCGAATAAACTGGAATACTTTGAGTGCTCAGCGGTAAGGAACAGGATTGATCATTTATGTTGTTAGCTCAGAAGATGTGGCTTGTAGGTTTTTCTTCTTTTCTACCTTTTGTCATTTCAGTCTGTCATCCCAGAACTGTATAAACCGCATTTTAAAATTAAATTTCGTCTCAAAATAGTTTCCAGCTCTATGATTTGTCAGTTCAGTACTTGGAACCTATTTGGTTTTGGTCTATTTCAAAGCCTTTTGAGAACCTGCTGACTGCCATGTTTATTGTTAATTCAGGGTGAGACTATGGTATCAGTGGCCATTATCTACTCTGACAAAGTCATCTATAAAACTTGACCTTTCACCTATGGCATCAGTTGACCATGCCCAGAGTACTTTTCATAACATCTCCAATGTCTACAAATAGATAAGACCCAGATTTAATGGTGTCTGTGGTATTGGGATTAGGCACTTTTTGTCAAACGCGAAATACATAAGTTGGATTCCATTGTAACTTTAACTTGTGCCGATGCAGGCGGAGAACATCTGTAGTTCCAATTACAGACCTGCATTACTATAAAAATGTTTTCAGGGTGATGAGCGTTATCACACAAAGAGTGGGGCTGGTTTGTTGTTTTTTTCTCGATTTAAAGTGTACAAAGTGCCCTTCTCCACAAAAGGGAGGATAAAGTTATTACACTACGAGCATTCAAAAAGTTTTTTTTAAAGAAAGCACAATCCGTGCAAATTTTTAAAAAATATTAAATTGCAGTGTATTGCCATACCTGGTATAACTGTCAGACCAAGAGTAGTGCATTGACATTGGTTGCTGCTTGGTGTTCAAGGAATGAAATGGATTAATGTAAAAGGATTATTAAAAATTTTGCCTGAAGGTTTCAACCTTCTGCTAAGACGTGTAACTTAACTGATGTACTGAGAGCGCTAGCTGTCTATAATGTTATCATAATGCATTGTTGAATTAAATCGGAAATTTTAATATTCAAACGAAACTTTAAAATAGGTGCAAAATCAATTTATTACTTCATGAGCATGTCTGCTTATACTGATCATAAGTGGATCATTCAGGCAAACCAAGGGTAATATTTTGTTTACAGTTCTGTTGATGTTGATACTTCTATATATATAGGGAAACAATACAGGACTTGAATAGTTTGGACTTTACATCATTTGGGAAAATAATAAATGACATGACAGTGATTTTTCCCCTCCTTTGACTTGATGTTACTATTTGTTTTTCTTTGTTTCTTTTGCTTTCAGAAAGAGATGCAGAATGTTGACACACCTTTCTTCTACTTGGCGAATGAATTTCACAAAGTGTATGAAGAACGTGCAGAGCTGTTTAATTCTTTATCATAGGGTCAAGTTGATCTTAATTTCTTTTTTTTTTTAAATAGCAAATGATTGGAAAGCCCAGGACTATTACTTTAAGTGTTTCTTTCTCAGGGGGCAATTTTTTCCCCTCCTTTCATATGTTTTCAAATGTACTTATTAACTTGAAAGCAAAAAGTTTGGTTTAGCTGTCAGCAACTTGTCATATGTGGGCTGGCTTCCTAAGCATGTGCCCAATCCTCTGCCAACTTCTTTTTTTGACCTCACAGGGAATTATTTTTTTTCAAAAGTACCATAACAAAAGAAATTTTGAAGGTTTTTCACCTATGAGATTGAAGTTGTATTAATGATCTTATCATTTGTAAGTCAAGTCCGTCCTGAATTTGTACTTGTTATCAATTTCAACTCATGTAAGTTTTTTCATGTTCATATTCACACTGTAATACATTAACTTATCAGTTATTTTGCAAACAAGTGAGATGTAAAATTCTGGATTTGCGATAAATTTTTAGACATTCTTTTGGTAATTTTGTTTGCATTCTCTTCTATTATGAAAATTGTCTAAAGAATTTAGGATCTCAGACTCGCAACTGTAAGGTCATGGGTTTGAATCTCGCCAGGGATCCAACATTGTGCCCTTGGGAAGCGCACTTTAAACGACTTTTCCTCTCTCCACCCAGATGGGAATGGGTACTTGGCAGAAGAAAGCAAAAGATCTTGTCAGTTTGTTGGTGTTTGAGCATGTACAATCTGTAGCTTGCACTGTATGCTTCCCCGGAAGCTGAGAATGTTTCTGAGTGTTCAAGTGTGTGTTGGGGTAATTATGATTTTAAAGTGCATAGAGCATGCTGTAGAGCGTGGATATACGCTATATGAATGCAATTATTATTATTTATTAACTTCTATCTCAGTGGAGTGTAGACCTACATGTACTGATATGGAGAGGCAAAACATTGGAACCCTTTATTATTATGACAAAACCCAGTTCCGAAATCACATTTATGTACATTACTTGTACCATACTATGCTGTGCTTGTAATGTGGTTTCAAAGGTATTCTCCGATAAAGATCAGTGCGATTTGGTGGCGTTTTAGCTCCTTTGGGGACTCATCAGGTAGCTGTGACTTACAAATAAAAATAAAGTTGCAAAAACTTGCGCAGTAAGTCAGTGTTCAAAGACAATTCGAGGTTCTCAATGAAAAAACTCAAACCACTGTAAGCGTCCAGTACAATAGGGATACCAAATATTTTTTATTTGCCCTGAATTACACTGACTTTGAGGTGACATGAAAACTTAACTCACTGGAGACGTTTCACGCAGCATTTGGGAGCACCAATGTTTTCCCGAGAGGCGGTTCACGCACCCCCTGCGAGCACAAGTTTCCGTTTTTTTCCTTGGCAAAGTATGCTTGCAAGCGCTGTGTGAACCGTCTCTTACTGTGCAGCCAAACTTTGTTTTGTTTTATGTGAAGTTTCACCGGAATTGGTTGGAAATTTTTTTAGTTATCGAGTCAGAAAGAGTTAGTCACACTGAGGCCCTACTTTCGTTTCTCTGACTGATGTCTGTGTTACCGCAACACTTTGTCAGTACGATGGCAGCACATTTAGTTTTAACACAAAAAAAGGAGGAGAGATCAGGAAGAGAGATGTTTGATAGGAAAGAAGGAGCAAACCACACCAGACCACCCGCCAACCACCCACTTGGCAGAACGAAAAACAAACATTTTTCAAGTGTTTGACGACTTTCACAGTTCAGAAAATTAAGATTATGATATTTCAGACCACGAGGATCCTGATTTCAATGTAAATGAGAATCAAAGCACTGATTCTGATAGAGAATGTCCTTTATCTAGACTGGGCTTTCAAATGCAAAATTCCGCTTTGTCTGGAGCCCTGTTATTTTCACACTGAAGTGGATTGCACAGCTAATACATAAGGATTACCATATATCGATTACCTGCCTATTCGTGAGTTTGAACTTCTTATTCATTTTGAAACACAAAACTCAACAAAAGACACACACAAGGTTGATTTTTTGTGTGTTTTGTTGGGTTTTTGTTACACAAGACATTACGTCAAAAAATTTTGCAGAGCAGCAAATTTTAGCACATTTTCAAAAAATCATTTCTTAAAAACAATAAATAAAATATATTGCCTTTTTTGGTTTGTGTGCCCTATTGGGCATGTTTAGATCTGTTATGTGTGTAAAAATGGTGGTTGTATGTCTTTGAGAAGGGTGTTGTTTGAAATATTGAAATAACCCCCAGAAATGCCAGTCTCCACTGCATGTAAATCTGAAAACGGTCCAGTTTCCAGTGAGTTAAAATCTTTGATTGGACCTCGAATGAACCTTTGGCTCACCTTAATTGAATTTGGTTAAATTTTTAAAGTGTTGACTGTTTAATGTTCTGATCAATTTGATCCTAAGACTTTTTATGAATATTCCACAAGGCAGAAAAATAAGGATGACACTGATTTGAATTACTTTAGTGTCCTCGGTATTCATTTTTTGTTTCAGGTGTATATTTCCATCCTTTCTTTATTTTTTTGGTAGTTATGGATGAACATTTTTCGTTAAAACATTGTTTGAAGATACTTTTAGGCAAGTTTTTATGTTTGTACTAATTTGTAGTTGCATTATTGTTTTGAAAGTCATTGAGAAGATATTTGGTCCCTTTCTATTGTGTCACCCTGCGTTGCATCATGTATGTATAGATGGGAACTAATTTTTTTCTTCTTTTAAATTAAGATAAGGCTGTCTGTTTCAATAAATTGTGATATAATGTTGTACACAAGGATTTACTTGTTTCAATATTTATTTCAGTTTCTAATAACTGAAGGTACAGTATTTCATACTTATTATTTTTAAAAGAGAGCTTTGTATTCCTATAGTGTGATGTTTCTGTTGGAATGTTTGCAAAGTATTTTTTAACACATCTTTGTACTTTCACAGAGAGTAGGTAGCGTAAACACGGCCTCGCTGGCACTTGCGGCCTTCTAACCGCGTGTTGTCGGTGAAATCAGGGTAATTCCGATCGCTGTTTCTTTGCTCTTTCGCTATAAAACACCAAATGCCGTACACCTTGTAAAAGTTCAGCTTTTCCTCGTTACAATGGTGTCAGTTGTTTATATGTCTGATTATTAGGAGCTGGAGAATCGCCGACGGAGGCGAAGCCCCTCGCGGTCAGAATGCGTGATCGGCCGGTTAAAAAATTGACACGCATGCATTCAAATGCTTCGCAGAACGAGGGATGATTAAATACCGTCTTTTCATTGGCGGAGAACTAGAGCTTTAAACGGGCTTTCCCGTGGTATATATTTGGCCTTTGGCGTTTAAATAGAAAGCTTTTAAAAATGCTGTCAAAATGTTTAAAGAGCACTTTTTACACAAAATATGTAAAATACCGGCTTAAAAAAGGTATTAATTAAAAGATCAGTTCATTTCCTATTACTATTAGAATAAAGTAATCAGCTTGGAATTATTTTTCATCAATCCTTTCGCGAGACTCGGGAAGCATGTGACCCCGCATGCAGGGTACACTACAGTACAGTGGAACTCGGATTCAACGAGAACTCGGATTCAACGAGATGTCATAGATTCCCTGTTTTTTTTTTTCTTTAAAATCAATAAAAATAGCCTGGATTCAACGAGCACTTAAATTAGTGAGCTCGGATTCAACGAGGTCGCTTCCAGGGTGAACAGCCCCTGCAGACGTGGCTTCGTTAATTTTTCTCCCAGAACGAACTTTATCTATTCACGGATTCCCGGAAACCATCCATTGCACCTGCATGGTGAACCATTATTCACTTAGCCGATCGCAAACGACCAATCAGCGGCCTTTTTTCAAACCAACACATGCGTTGTTGGCACGCGCAGGTGTCTACTCTGGCGTGTGTCTGGGTCGGATGGGCGGCCTGCATACGTGTGACTGTGTGTGTGTGTTGGGGATGGGGGGCAATAGCGGTCCCGGCGTTGAACGTCGCAGATACAAACGCGTCAATCTTTTTTCCCCCTCGGCAACTAATCATTATTGCAATGATAAGCTAGTCTTGAGGTAGATCTACGTAATGAATTGTGCGCTGGTCTATGGAATCAAAAGTTGTCTTATGCTAGGCTCTACACAGCAACACAACTTTTTGGGAAACAATCAAGATGACACAGGCGTGCATTTGAACGAATCGGTCATTTTTTACAGCTCATAATATACAGGCATTTCAGGCACTACTTGTGACTTCTCTTTGCACATTACTTGCTCAGTGCCTGTAATTATCTACACAAAACCTGATGTTTGCTATAACGAACTCTCGGATTCAACGAGATTTTAGGTCTGGCCCGGCGACCTCGTTGAATCCGAGTTCCACTGTATAGAGCCGACTCGCTCGCCGCGGGGGCCGGTGCGGCGCCGGCCGGGTCAACACTCGGTGTTTTTGTCGAAATAATGACAGATCATCGTGTTTGAGGTGATGAAATACTGATTTGTAATGATCTCACAGTCTTGAAAAAAATTTGGCTCCATATATTTGTTATAGTGATTGTACTCTGTTAATGTGGAGATGTTTAGTGCACTTGGTACTCTTTTATTGTCTGTCAAACATGGGGTTGCAGCTCAGTGACTGACTTTAACAAATTTGATCAAATTTTAAACAACTACCATTTTCTTAAAAATTGACTGAGAGGTTAAAGAATGGTACCAAAATGCTCAGTGGATATAGGCCTTTCAAATGGAACAGATAAATTTGGCATACAGCAGCTACTTTGAAAATTTATTTCTGGTACCTTAGAGAGCAATTATTTGAGGCCATGCCAGCTTACTGCAACGCTCTTCACATGACTTTAAAATGTTGAATTTACAACATCGGGGCCATTACTCCACCTCCTAAATGATCAAATTTGTGACAATAAGGGTGTAAAACACACCTACATTATGTATATCATCACCTCTCACCTTTTGCTTTCTAATGGAATTTGTGAAGTCATTTTTTTGGGAAACACAATTGAACTGATAACCTTGGTTACAACAAAAATGTGTAGAATTTTAGGATTTCACCCTCTTTAAAAATGATTTCAGCAAATTTTAAAATTTATATATATATTATGTAGTAGCTTATGATTTAATTTTAATGTCTTCTTTCGATAGCTTTTGTCTGAGAGCCTTAAACTATAGAACTCTCACAAACTAGTTTCAAGAATGTTTTAGGATATGAACTAAAGCTGTTGCAATCAAAGCCAAATGTGTTTTTGTTTTTTTATGTAGATGTTTTTATGGCCCCATAGACACAATATAGTTAATTTAGGAGACAGGCTTCTGATCCCAGCAAAAAGACCAAGATAATCTATAACAAAAATTCTCCTCACTCGTGAATCAAACTGGCATCTCTTGCGTGAGGCAACAAAATGTATAACTGCTACACCATAGACACCAGTGAAACCAAATGTGTTTTGTGTAACATGTAAATTGTCTGTTGAATGCCAACAGTGAGGATATTCTTCTACTGTGACTGAAAACATGCAGTTGTTTTCTTCTGTTTGATCTGCACAATCTGAGGACACAAAATGGCACACTCGACTTATAAGAATCCCCAGGGGTTGTTATCATTTCTGTTACCCTCCTCATCTCCCCACCACATGGATTGACCCATCATTCTTTCTCACTGGACGCTCTTGCTTGGATCACAACTTGAAATAAAGTCGTTTGGTTGAAGGCAAATTTGTATTGTAGGGAAATATTAAAATTTATTAATTACTGGTCAGGTTGCTGAAAATGAAAATATAGTGTCAGGCCATTTTTTAGATTTACTTTCATTGCCATGGTGAGGTGAATTCTGGTGCAAAAAATGGGGAGGGGTGTATAGTTTAATTTGGGTTTTGAAAAAATTAATTTACATGTGAGACATACTATGTCCTGTCTTGTTGTGCATATATGCGTGAGTGCACCTGACCTTTGTACGCCTACTGTCATTGTTAACGACCAAGACAAATTTCTCCCTGCAAGATTGTCGATGTCATTATGTGACAATTTGACTGATTAGAGATAAGTCATCCAACCAACCAAAATGTTCAGAAATTGTACAAAAGAAAAAAATTAACTGGATATTAATGAACTTACGGATGCTGATGGTACATTGCTGTTCGGTGGAACCGTGCCACTTGCTCAAACTTTTTATATCATCCCTGGAAATGACGATCTAGCCAAAAAATTAAATTTACCAAGTGCAAAGACACATCAAGACTCCCCTTACAATAGCAACACACTGTTTATAAAATTAAATTCTATAACAAAGAAGATTGGATTACAGATGAACCTGTGACATTTTAAATCTGTACATCGTATCTATACGCCATGGGGAACTCTGTGCCACCACTTTGATCAGATCCATACACTTTGCATAGTCTGTCAAAATGATTTTTTGAGAAATACTGAAAGTTTCAAAGAGATCTTCGTACTAGAAGTATTCTAAAATGTGAAGAATACAACCCCAGGGGTACAAAATGACCCCAGGGCATACGGATAGGGTTAATGTGTTTTATTTTAACACATAGGAATCTTGCCACATATATTAAACCTCCAGACAATGTTCAACCAACTTCCGGGGGAAAGATTCTCAACTGTCTGCCACCTGAGAATTCAGATGTAGGCCTAATCACCACCCGCACTAATGAGACTGAGTCCTCACAAGAATCAATATATATGGATGTGTACCGGCTTATTATCATTATCATCATTGTATTATTATCATTATTATTACTATTATTGGGTTTTTTTTTCCGTTCAAGTTTACAGTGGACACCTGGAGAGTGGGTGGTTAGAGGGAAACACTATTTCTTTTTTTCCCTCGGTTGTTTTTTTTCTACCAGTCTTACCTTTTAACTGCACTAATTGACCGTTATTTTGTCGATGTATGTCTCTTTGCTCAAAGAAACCCCCAAAAAGAAACAAAATCTACAAACAACACCCCCCACCAAAAAAACAACAAAAAACACTACAAAAAACCCCCACAAAAAAACAACAACCCACACACACGATTCACATTTGTCCTATGTATAGGTTGGCCCTACCCATTAGATCTAGATCTAGTTATTTTAGTGTCTATCATTTCAAAACAGCGCCTGGCTGTCCCAATTGTCAAGTTTTCACATGAAGCAACCCTATTCTTACTCTCACATTTGAATGATCTTCATGAATCATTTTTAGCAACAAGGACAAGGTGCAAAGTTGAACCAGACAGTTTGACAGCATATTATGGTACGTGTACTCTGCACCCCCCTGTAAACATTGCTGTTCTTCGGCGAACAGCCAAAAGTGTATCTTCCTCTACAGCCTTCTTTCTATCTTTCTGGGCCCTATCTTTTTTTTTGTTTGTTGTTGACAATTTTCATGTGTACAATAGGATCGTATAATTTTATGTTTTGTTTCGTAAACTCGTTGGTTTTCTAGTGCAGTTTTACAAAATCTCCATCCCCAGAGTAAGAAACGTGACAGAGTAGCCCCCCTTCCGTGAATTGAACATCTCTGATTGAACAAAACAAACAAAATGGCGCCCAGATGAGCACCTCCAAGAAAAAAGCAGAGATCGAAGGCGTTGGGTATTCTCTAGATCTAGAGATCTTTCCGGTTATGTTGTGTAACACGTTCATTGGAAATACTTACTCTGTAACTGTAAGTTTATGTGAAATGGAATTTAGGAAGAAGCGATGCAAAAATTTAGCTATGAGAGACTCGTCTTTCTATTACGAATTCAGCACAGAGTCAGAGCCAGAGCCTCTGGCAGTGGCAGAGCAGAGTGAAAAATGCCCGGCCCGGCATTGTCGGCCTCTTTGAACATTAGGTTAGCAGACCACCACTGCCCCGGTAGCCTTAGTCCTAGGGCGAGCTGGGTGGTGATGGTAGGGTGTAAGAACACTTAACAGAAAGGGGGAAGGGGGGGGG